CTCCGACGTATATTTCAGTCAGGTTCTGAGCTCGTCCAGGTCCGCTGGGTAGGCACGAACGCCAAGGCTCAGCCAGAAGGCTGGGGGGGTCTAGGGCTCAGCGGGAAGGCTGAGGGGGTCTAGGGCTCAGGGCTCAGGGGGAAGGCTGGGGGGCTCAGCAGGAAGGCTGAGGGTGGGGGGGTCCAGGGCTCAGAGGGAAGGCTGTGGGGGTCCAGGGCTCAGGGGGAAGGCTGGGGGGACAGTCACCTTGAGCCAGTTGTGCGATCTCTTGGCGATCTCGTAAGTGGCATCGACGTCCAGGGTTTTCACCATCAGCCCCTCGCAGGAGTCTGAGGAGACACAGCACCGCCCTTGTGAAGCCGGGGCTCACAGCGGCCGGAGCAGGCAGGATTCGGGGCGAACCGTCCAGGGTGGGCCGGGATCACAGCGGATCGCAGGCCGGCTCCTGACCACAGAGGGGAGGGGAGCGGGACCCTCACCTTTCACCGACTGCTCCAAGAACTCCGCGATCTGGTCCATGTCCTTGGTGTCCAGGGAGGTGGCGAAGACAAACTCGCCCTCCGTCTCCACGAAGTTCTCCCGGAGCAGCTGCCGGCGTCGGGAAAGGGGCTCACGGACCAGGGACTGAGGGGTGGGCGAGAGAGGGAGGGACGCCATTGTGGAAAGAAAGAGAAAAGTCCCCAAAACAGGGAGCACAAGTCACAGGGAGCTAAGGAGAGCCTGGAGGGGGGAGAACCAGCCGACATGAGGGTCCTGAGAGTCTAAGTACAGGCTGGCCAGCGGCCCAGGGACTGGAAACCATTCAGATCCCAGGGGCCCCGGGGGCATAAGACAGGGAGCCACGGCCTTGAACTGTCTCTTGTAACTAAGACAATGATGGTTCCTTTTTTAACACCAGTTGAATCAAGGCAGAAAGAAGCCTATGGTCATTATGCTGTAACACAGACATGCTCCTGAGGGGGTATTTTCTATGTTAATGCACAGCCAGCAACCTTTTACTATAAAGAACCAAATTCTACTATATTCTCAGCTCTGCAGGATACTCCCATCTTTGTCACAGCACCTCAACTCTGCCCCTTTAGGACCGAAAGAAGCTGAATGTGCAACTGACTGCCCACCTGGTAGGCACTGTGCTGGGAACTAATAGACACACAGTGTGACCACTTTTTAACTTTGGAATTTCTGGAGCCACGTAGCTCAGTTGGCTAGAGTATTGTCCCAATGCACCAAGGTTTTGGGTTCGATTCCCAGTCAGAGCATATACAAGAACCAGCCAGTGAATGCATAAGTGGAACAACAGATCAATGTGGGGTTTTTTCTTCTCTCGCTCCCCCATCTCTCTCTCTCTCAAATCAATAAAAAACACTTTTTTAAAGAAGTAGGGAAAATAGCAGCATAGGTAAACGCAGTACTCACCACCTCCCACATCCACATCAAAATTTACAACTAAAATACAGGACCACCATCATTCAGAACCACCTGAAATCTAGCTGGAAGTCCCACCACTAAGGAATTAAAGAAGAAGCACATCAAGACTGGTAGGAGGGGCAGAATCAAGCAACCAGCTGGTGCCATATCCACGTAGTAGTTTAAAATTGGGAGGGATATCTTGGCTGTGAAGGTTTCCCTGGGGAGCGAGGGGTCCCAGCCCCACACCAGGCCCGCAGCCCAGGTTCCAGTGCTGGGAAGAAAAGTCCCCGTAACTTTGCGCTATAAAAACCAGCGGGGATGTGGCTGAGTGACATGGGGACTACATGAGTCCCAGGTGTTCCTCTTAAAGGCCTGCACACAGATTTACTCAGATCCTGCCTGACACACACACATGTGCCAATCCCACTAGAACACAAAGCTGGGAAGATGCCAGAAGAAAAGCTAAGTGAAAACTTTTAGAATCCTAGGAAAAGGATGACTTTTTTCCTTCTTTAATCTCAGGGATGAGAATACATTAAGGGGGGGAAATGTTATGTTTGACTAAATACAAAATAATAGTTAAAAACAAGTTCTATGCAGCAAAAAAGACCATCAATCAAGTTAAAAGGCAAACACCAAATAAGAAATATTTGTAATGCTCATGACACAAAGGACCCCTCGGAGCAGGGACAATCAAAACAGGAAGGAAAAAACCACAGAGCATCTAATATTTGAGATTTCCCCCCAAAAAACCCTGAGAAACAGAATCCCACGGGTCTTCCTACAGTTCCTTTTTGAGGTTAATCGCTGTTTTCCATTTGTATCATAAGGAGGGTGGTTTAGGCACTGGATGCATTTCAGCATTAGGGCCACGAACTGGCCTCCTGGAGAAAGACACGAATAAGAACCCACAGACGAGCAAGTCACAGGACAAATGCCGTGGCCCACGAGCCCGAAGACGCTCCACCTCACTAGGAAGTGGGCAGGGAAGGCTGTCACTGTTCAGCTACCAGATCGCCAAGGATTATCTGGAGGAAGATGGTGACGGCAGCTAATTATATCAAAGCTTCCGTGGGCCAGCCCCGGGGCTCCACGCCCGTGTCCCACCACTTACCCTGCCTGTGACAGACAGGCAGGTGCTGCTGTTAGCTCTTCAATTACGGGTAAGGAAACTGAGGCACAGAGAGGCTGAGCCAGGCATCTGCGGCAACACAGCGAGGAGGGGAGAGCGGGCATATGAAAGCAGATGGCCTGGCTACAGATTCTTAACCTGTACCTACCCTGGGGCAGCGGTTCTCAAACTTCTCAGTGTCAGAATCCCTTCACAGTCTTGAAATGTACTGAGAACTCACTCCCAAACACTTCTGTGTGTGTGGGTTACATCTCTCAATATTCACCATATGGTATTAATACAAGATTAGTTACATCACATATTTATACTGAGCACATTGAAAGTGAGGATCTCGCCCAGCTGGTGTGGCTCAGTGGTTGCATGTCGACCCAGGAACAACCAAGAGGTCACAGGTTCAATTTCCCAGTCAGGACACATGCCCAGGTTGCAGGCTGGATCCCCAGTAGGGGGTGTGCAGGAGGCACCCGACTGATGTTTCTATCTATCCCTCTTCCTTCCCCTCTCTTGAAAAAAAAAAACAAACAAAAAAAAAACCCAGCCCTAGCCAGTTTGGCTCAGTGGATAGAGCACCGGCCTTCGGACTGAAGGGTCCCAGGTTTGATTCCGGCCAAAGGCACATGCCTGGGTTTCGGGCTCGATCCCCAGTAGGGGGCGTGCAGGAGGCAGCCAATCAATGATTCTCTTTCATCATTGTTGTTTCTCTCTCTCTATCCCTCTCCCTTCCTCTCTAAAATCAAAAATATATATTAAAAAACAAACAAAAACAAAAAAACACATATTTAAATAATAAATATGTGGCATAGTGGTTGAGTGTCAACCTATGAACCAGGAAGTCACAGTTCGATTCACTGATGTTTCTATCTCTCTCCCCGTCTCCTTTCCTCTCTGAAATCAATAAAAATAAATTTAAAAAAAAATACAATAAAACAAAATTTAAAAAAAAAGAGAAAGTGACCGCACTACAAATAATAATAATAAATAAATATATAATAAAAGTGATGATCTCAAAAACATTGTCTTAACACAGCTGGATCCTCACATCTGCTTCAGGCAGCCACACCACACGGGGAAAACCCGCCTCACAGATGTGCAGTGGGTAGGGAGGGCCTCCCAGGCCCCGGAAGCGTCCCGGGGACCCACGCAACTCCTTGGACCACGGAGCACTACTGCCCAGGAGGGGCCTCCCAGCTCAGTGCCGTGACAGAGTGAGAAGTGAAACTCGGGCCCCTGGCTCCCCAGCTCACCCCTCGGCTGCCCCGGGAAGCGAAGCCGGACTCACCTCTCCATTGAGGTAGATGAGATCGAAGGCGTACAAACACACCTGCACCTGGATCTCCGCTGCATCCACCTCCTGGGTTGGGGCAGAGAGCAGGGGTGGGGAGAGGTGAGTCGGGCCTGACTGGTCCCCTCCCATCCTGCCTGAGGCAGACACTGCTGTCACCTACCACCCTCCCCCGCTCCCACCTAACGGCCACACAGCTGTGAGGGTGGCAATGCTGCCAGCCCCGGACACCGAACTGCGATGGCTCTCAGCTGACCCCAACCCTTCCCCTTTGTCAGGTATTTGCTCTCTCGGCCTCCCTTGCAGCTAATGGCGGTGACGTGACACAATGCTGGCCAATGAGAATAAAGAAGTTTGCTAGGGTGTAGGCTGTGGGGGCTCCTGGAACAGACCTTCTTTCGTAATAAAACACAGAGATGTAGGCAAATAGCTCTTCCTGCTTTCTACTTGGCCTGCTGGGATGAGGATGCAATGGCTGGAGCTGTGGCAGCCATACTGCACAGGCTGAGACCTGCGTCCTGACGAACTCTGACCCTCTGGGGACTGGGCAGGACTGGGAGGAAGATGCGGGAGGGCGGGGCCATGGCAGGCAGTGAGGGGGGCTGAGGCTACCTTGCGTTTGCGGGTGGTGAGCACCTGGAACGGCTGTATCTGCTTCTTCTCCCGGTCCCAAGCCACGGCTTCTGTGTCCAGGATGAAAGATGTGACTGACGGGAGTTTAATCTGAAAGTAGAAGGGGGAGCCCAGGGCTGGTGAGAGGGGGAGGCCGAGGCCGAAAGGCAGACTCGGGGAAACAAATGTCCTTTTCCTGCTGTAGCTCTCAAGGTCCACTGACCACTTGACACCAAACTCAGAGAGACACGTGCACACAGACCCATATCCCGGGCTGCACCGAGCTGGCCTGGACCCCCCCGGTTCCTTGCAGCAGTCACTGCAGCCCCCGCCGGAGGGGAGAGAGAAGCGGGTGGCAGACACCCACCTTGGGGATGCGGCTGATGATGTCCGGGTACTTTCCGGTATTGTCTTCCTGATTCCTGCTGAAGATCTTCACCTCCCCGCCTTCCAGAAAATGGATCTTTGACGGGGGGGGGGGGGGGATGTCAGAGCCCAGTCCACCCCAGGCAGCCCCTCCCTCTCTCTTCTGACCCCACTTTACTGGTGGAAGGTCCCAGAAGCTCTGAAGGAGGACTGGTGCAGAGACCTGAGCAAATCATCTCCTTTCGAACAGCATCCCCACCCCCCCACCCCCCGTCCTCTCATCATCCCAGGCCCACCCCCCTCCGTCCGCACAAGGGTCTTTGTGTGATTTGTCTGGATGCTATGCTGTGACTATGGTCCTGGGTTTGACTGTTACTGTATTTACTGTAATACAGCCTGGTCACAGTGCTCAAGCAGACCTACATCGATGCCATTTTATACGTTTGTTATCGCAAGAAATAGCTGTGTGGGGTATAACACATATATGACTTACAACATGTATGTATATGTATTTCAAGTCCCTGTCACTGCCGTAAGTCATTGTGTCCTAATTTTTCTCTATGTTTTGAAGATCCATCTGTGACCTGGTGCCCAGCCCAGCCGCAGGCCACCTGAGCACCCTTAGACCCGACCGGCCGCCTCCAGCCCTGGGTCACAGGACTCACCCTGTGTCCCTGCACCTGTGGCTACGCGGCACCTGTGACAGTGAACACACCCACCAGCAGGGCCCGAGCACAGCTGACTTCCTGAGCTCCCACTGCTGTGGGTCAGGAATTTTGACTTGACCAAATAAAATCGATTTTCAAATCAGCCAGTGAGGGGCTGGTTATTGCACCCGCTGCACAGAGGGGGGAACTGAGCCCCGAAAGGCGTGCAGGGCAGACGGGCCGTCCGCAGAGGCCGGGTCTGAACTGGGTCTGACGGCCCCCACGCCCTGCTCTCCGGCCCTGTCCGTTCTGCTGAAGGGATGCGTCCGCCCCCCATACCTGTGCCCTCTGCCCGTCGTATTTGTACTCGCAGGTGAAAGCTGCCTCATCGAAGCGCTTCAGGACCTCGCTGACGCCCCGGGTGGGGTGGGCCAACATTGGTTTCAGCGGGACCCCTGGGAGGGGAGGAGAGGGAGCGTTAGGGAAGATGGGCAGAGGGACCACTAACTGCGACTGCTGACTGCACTCAAGCGATGTGTGCAGGGTCTGGGTCACACCCACAGGAACCTGGCTGTCCCCTCTCTTTCCGTATCTAGAACGGAGACGTCAGCCATCTGTGACCACGTGCATTAGGGCGACAACCTTGGGATGACAGGGTGGCAGGAGAAGAAACCTGGGTCCCTGGGGATCCCAGAGCATAGCCGGCTGCCCTCCCTGGCCGCTGCCTTCCTCTGTCTGGCCTGACCACTGCCCTTGGGGAATCCTGGCGACAGCAGCCTCCTACCCGACCCAGCACAGAGCGGAGCTCCAGGGGGGAAGGAATGGGTCTGGGCCCCCAGAACAACACTCCACCCCGGGACAAAGAAGATTCTGCGGGTTCTTAGAGGAGTGGCCCTCACAGCCCCCCTGGAGGCAGAAGCTGAGGCCCAGAGGAGGGAGAGGAGCCTGAAGGAGGGGCGGCCCCAGCTCCCACCCGAGCCAGCGGTGCACAGGGTGAGGCTGTGGTCAGACCTCCGAGGCCCCGGTGGCTTGTACCTGGACTCAGCTTGCAGTGCTCCGGGAGCCCCTCCAGGCCGTGTTCCAGCAGCACCGGGACGATCCGGTCCAGGTCAGGCACCTGGCTGGGGTGCGGGGAGAACAAGGTGGGAGGTGTCCTTGCAGAGCTCAGTCTGGCAGCCTGGAAGCTCTGCTCTCAGGCTGCAAGATTCACCTCTGCCTGCCTGTCCCCTGGTCCCTGGTCGGCCCCCACCTCTCCCTGACTCCTCTGTCCCCTGGTCGGCCCCCACCTCTCCCTGACTCCTCTGTCCCCTGGTCGGCCCCCACCTCTCCCTGACTCCTCTGTCCCCTGGGCGGCCCCCACTTCTCCCTGACTCCTCTGTCCCCTGGGCGGCCCCCACCTCTCCCTGACTCCTCTGTCCCCTGGGCGGGCCCCACCTTTCCCTGACTCCTCTGTCCCCTGGTCGGCCCCCACCTCTCCCTGACTCCTCCTGTCCCCTGGTCGGCCCCCACTTCTCCCTGAATCCCCTGTCCCCTGGTCGGTCCCCACTTTTCCCTGACTCCTTTGTTCCCTGGGCGGCCCCCACCTCTCCCTGAATCCCTCTGACCCCTTGTCCCTTTCCGGGCTCCCTTTCCCTGAAAACTCGTAAACCTGCTCTGGATGGGCGCCGTCCTCCGTATGGAACTACAGCTCCCTCTTACCCTAACTCCCCTGAAACTGAA